ACTATGCGGGTGCAGGCAGCATGGGTGTTGCAGGTAGAGTTTCGGTGGTGCAACGCGCTAGGTCGTTTGCTCCCTGGGAGCCCCAGGGCTGCCCCCTTTTTGGTTGGTGTGACGGGGCTTGGGGGTGTTGGACGCTTCGGTTTTGTTCCTTCCGCGCCTCCTTGTCTTTCCCGTGTTATGGCCCCCCCACCTTCCTCCCTGCATCTGGATCCTTACCGTTTGTGGGTTCTGGGTCGGGGTGGGGCTTTGCTGGTCTTGAGACTTTGGCAGTCTCGGGGATTTTCCCCTTTCCGGGGTAGTGACGGAGGCATTCGAGCCTGTTCCTCCAGCCGTGTTGTATGAGTCTGCCAGTGGGCTCCCTTCTTTAGTGCTGGTCCGATTGCCCGGGCTTTTTCTTGTGAGGCTGGGGCTTTGGGGAAATGGGTCGGCCCCGGGACCTGCCTGGTGGGTTCCTAGGGCTTGTGAGGGGGCAGAGGTTTTGGACCCTGCCTGGGTTTTTCTACCCTCTGGGCGGGGCTTGCGGTTATGAGGAGTGGGGATTTTTTTCCCCCTCTCCGTACATGTTTTTGGGAGTCGGCCCCTCCTCAGGATCGGTTCCTTGTTCCTTGGATCCGTTGGGTCCGCCCTGTCAATGGGTTCGTTTCTCCACCCTTCTTCTTGGGACGGGCCTTCACAGTCATGTTCCCCTCTTTTCGGGGGATCTGCATGACTTTTGGTCTCGGGTGCGACTTTGCCTTCTGTTCCTTCATGCTTCACGCTTGCTTCTTTATGTTCTAGACGGATTGGGAAGGTTTTGATTCTTCCCATTTTCTTGGAATACTGTATCTGTCGTCTTCCGGTCCTTTCTGGGGCTTGTTGGTCCTTCTCAAAGCTTCTCGTTTTCGGTCCTGTTTCGTTCTTTTGTGCTTCTCTCTTCTCTCCGTGCACTGTCTTGCGCTGCACAGGGTTGCCAGATTGGGCTCCTTGTAGCCCAAACGGGGAGCTGGGCCGTGTTTCTTTTTACTCCTTCCTGCTCTTTTCGACTACGGTTGGTGGCTGCCCTGTGTACTCTCATATGGGATTCGGTTGTTAACAACACTATTTTGTCTATTTTTCTCATCACATTCGTGGTTTCTTCTTCAGCTTGTGACTTCTGGCGACCCACATCTGGTATCCCTGCTGCGCATACGCCATGGTTGTTTGTTTTGATATGGGTGGTGTGCACGTGTGCTGGGGTTTTGCATCCCTTTTCTCTTGGGTGCTTCGCCTTTCGCTCTTCTCAATTCTCCAGTCCGTGCCCCGTAGCGCCTGGGGGCATTCTGGATTGCTACTATGGGGAGGACACTGGGTTTTCAATGCGTATGGGTGTGGGGCTGCTCTACCCTACTCTTTCTTCTCCATGTGCAGCTCTGCCTTCTTCCACTGGCAGTGCTCCTGGAATCTCGGGAGCACCGAGATTTTACGTTGTGTCGGCTATGTTGTGTCATGACACGTTCGTGCCTACGTTCTGCAGGCTAGTTTATGCGGTCTGGCATCTCTCTCTCGTCCAGGCGCTGGTTTGTGGTTTTGGGATATGTATATAAGACCTCCAGAACACAGGTGACTGCAGCAGGCCTATTGAGCCATATGAGGCAGCTCCTAGTTATACCCATCCAGTCCCACTCTTATGCATGTCCAGCCCATGCTTGAGTCCAGATAGGGGCCCAACCTCCACCAAGTTACGAGGTCCAATGGTGGGGGTATATGTTATGGGGTAAGTGTTCCTGTCTGGATGTTTTGAGATGACGTTTTGCTGCAGTTTTCATGCTGTGGATGTGTGTTAGGGATTGGTTGTGGGTTTTTGTTTGGTTCTTCCCTGCTTCCTGGGGGCCTTACTTGTTCGGGGTAATGGTTGCAAGGGGGGAGGTCATGGCCCTGTTTTTCGTAGTCTTATCTGGGTCATCCTTTCCTTTCACGTCTTGCAGTGCCTGGCTTAGCCCTTCCATATACAGTACATTGGATTCTCTGTACAGTACTTACCTCGTTGTGTCTGCGGGAGTTGAGCTCTGGCTTTTTGGTCCCGCTTCTCACCTGTCATTCGCTCATGTGCAGGTTCCTGGGCCTGCTGGGCTCAAATTCTGTGCATGACGCTGTGAGTGGTGCCATCCTCCACCACATCGCTTCCTCATGCGTCCTGCTTGTGTACTACTCTGACACCGCAATACTTCTTTCCCATGTCTCTTTGGCTCGTTTGGGCTCTTATTCCACCGGTGTCCCCTGGTGCGTGTACCCCTGGGGGTCCCATAGTCGGTCTTTCTCTACCCTATCCCTTCCTTTGGGAATTTGAAATGTGGTGATCATCGCCTCGTAGCTCGACTCCTTGGTTCGGGTAGTGGTCTGGTGGCGTACCTTTGCTTCTTTTTTCCTTTTCGTCTTGTATTGGGGCGTGTCACACAACTGTGTTGGCGAGGCTTGTTGGGACATGACAAGCGGCTCTGTGTGTTGTTGGTCGTGTCCCTTTCATTCCCGTTTTGCTACTTGCCTTCTTCGTTCCTCATCTTCCTTCTAGGCTCTTGTCCCTGGCCGTTGATGCTGGGGCTTTTCTTCTGGTCTTTTCTTGTCTTTTCCATTTTCTCATTTTATCCTACACGTGGTGGTATGTTTTTCTTTGTGCCTTTTGGCTCTCCTATTGCCAGGTTGGGTTCCTGGTTTCCTGGCTTACCTGGCCTGTTGGCGTTTTCTCGGTCTCACGGTTTTCCTTCTCTAGAATCGTGCGTCGGGACTGTAGTCTCCGATCTCCTGGCGAGATCGCGGGCGTTGTGATGTTTTTTTGTACGGCGGACGTTCCTTCTCTTTTGCCAGCTTGGGTTTCAGGCTCTGCTGGCTCCGTGGTCGTACCCAAGATCTTCCCGTGGCTTCGCCTCTTCCTAGGCTCGATTGACACATGGCGGGGCCGTTTCGGCTCTGCCTCGAGTCTTTCACCTTCTGTTGGTGGTCGGGTGGCTTCGATGGTGTCCCATCTGCATGCTTCTTCTTGGCGGCAGTGTGGGGTTTTTGGCGGTTCTTCCTTCTCCTTCTGCCCCTTCTTCGGTAGCTGCATTTGTTGGCGTGGTCTTGTCCTTATCTTGTGGAGGTTTGGAGCCGTCATCTTGCCCCATACAGTTTCCTTGTATCGTGCGGCGCTGGTGGAGCTGCTTCAGCTTGCTTTTGGTATTGATGTTACTTCTGCTCCGTTTCACAAGCTGTCTCGTGCATTGTTTCACTTGTTGCCTGCTCTTGTGCCGCCTGAGCCGTCCTGGTCCTTGGACAGAGTGCTCTTTTCTTTCTTCTCCTCGGTTTGTTGTGGCCCCTTCGGTTCAGGTTTGTTCTCCAAGGCTCCTTTTCTGTTGGCGTTGGCCTTTGGGGGTCGGGTTGGGGAGCTCATGCTCGCCTCCAACGCAGGGGTTTCTGCTCTTTCAGTTTTCGTGTTGGTTTTGTTCATCTGCAGCCGTTTCCTTCTTTCTGGCATAGAATGAGACTGCTGCTTTCCGAAGGAGGTCCCTGGGTTGTTGATGCTTGGTTGGTTGGGCCGAGGTTACATCATGTTTTGTGTCCGGTGGGGGCTCCTCGCTGTTTATGCGTGCCACGGCTTCTGTGTCCTGGGATGCGCTTTGGATTGATCTGGTTTCCCTTCTTCCCTGTTTGCGGGTGCGGGTCTCCCAGGTCATCCACAGAGTTCTTCACGCTAGCCAGGCTGCAGTCTATTCCATGCCCATGACGTTCGTAAGTTCGCTGCTCTTGCTGTCGTCTTTGGCACAATGTCCTGGCTGTCATTCGAGCATGGGGCTTTAGGCGGTTTAACAGGGTCCTGGCTGCTCATTACCTCGTGCACGTCCCGGGGGCCTCGTCGGGCCTGTGTCGTTTTGGGTCGGCGGTTGCAGCCAGTTGTCTCGACTTCGCGTTGTAGAGTGAGCAACTACCGCCTCCCGGGTAAGTCCCTAAGTTTTTCCTCTGTGGGTAGTTAACTCTGGGGTGCTGACGGGGCTGCCCCCACTAGAAAACCAGTGTTGAATGTAATGAAACTATTTTCTGAGTGAGACCCGGAGGCTCCCCGGCATCCCTCCCTCCCTCCCTCCCTCCTGGTCGGCGTGTGTTTTGTGTGTGTTTTGACATCCAGCTTCAGAACTGATGGGTGGATAGCAGGCATAAGGAGTCTGGGGCTTCCCCTCCCCCTTCCCCCTCCCAGGGAGGAGGGGAGCTGCGCAGACAGCTGCGCGTTGACGTGTGGCGCCATGATCGTTTGCTCGTTTCTTTTAAGGGAGTTCTATCCACTTGTTCAGCTTTTGGTAGCAATAATTTCACCAGAATAGGGGTTTATTTTGGGATGTTTATCTTTCTGGGTGCCTGACCTGGTCACTGGCAGACATAGAATGTTTCCAACCACATGGGGGTTTCTATAAGCCATTGTTCCCCATGCCTCTCTGAGGGGGCCAGGTTCTGGCTCGTGGTCTCCGGTAGGCCCACAGAACTCCATACACATATTTGAAGCCAAAGTCTGACATTAGCATATCAGCCTAGTAAGCTCCGGGAAGCTTCCGGGTCTCACCCAGAAAATTGTGTTTCATTACATTTAACGCTGTTTTTTTTGTGTTCCAAAACGTACCACTAAGCTGGTCTGATGGACCCACTGTTGGGTCCATCAGACCAGTTCTATTGGCCGTAGAACCCCATAATTGATGGCAACTAGTAGTAACTCCACTGAGCAACTGGAAACTGAGCACTCCACTCAGATATCAATAGCATGATATGTTCCAAGAATTCTTCCATATCAGTTTTATCAATTCCCATTTCTATTTTGTACGTATTGATCTTATTGCCTCTTTTTCTTGTATTTTCTAGGTTTTGGCATATTTAATACCTCTAACCTCTATTTGTAATGTCTAATGTGAGCAATAGTGTGTCTAATATCCCATATACCCATCCACCAGTCTCTGCTACACAGTAAAAAAAATTTACATTTATAATACTATAATTAAATGTAAATATCTGAATGATAAATTCTCTCCACAGGCTGCATATGCAAGGTACTCGCACAATTATTGATAGTCTAGATGTTGGGTACGAGGTGAAACCAATACTCACTCGCTATGAAGGATTCTTCGATTGTCTCAACACCACAGTTCAAGAGGAGGGATTCTTGGGCCTTTTTAAGGTTGTTCTGAAATTGTTCGCTTTGGTTATTAGTTGTAATCATATTGTAGATATGTTATATCAAACATTATCAATAGATGAATTCACAGAACTGGTAATAGAAGTGCACAGTGCATCTCTTATCTGACATTAATTTATATGAACAGCGTATGAATAATAAACAATGTATATATATTTGTTTAAATGTTGATAATTTTAGAGTGAATGTTGAATACTATTGTGAAAGGCTTATGCGGTAATGAAAAATAGAAAAGTAAAACTGCTTTTGAAGGTAGAAGTTATGGGAGATGTCAACCTCTTGGACCCTTTAAGGGTTAGAATCAGAAGTACAATACATGAATGGGTGGGATATGATATTCGCAATACATAAATATGGTTTGAGAAAATGTCGCTGAGCGGTGCACGTCGTATATACAGTATATGATTTAACGTACGACGCAAGATTTAAAAGTCCTGCAGCTACACAGGGTTCACATCAGCTTCCTTAGGGCACTAGTAAATAGACGCCATTTAAAAAAAAAAAAGTCATGGGTAACATTCCCGGGTGTGAGAGCCTCGGCTCTGAGTGAGCAACCAAGGCTGGTGCACGCAGCATGAGCTAACAACACTGCTGTTCAGCTTATGACCACAGCATCGCCTAAAAATATTAAAATATATATATATGTAACCGGTATTATTTAATGATGATAGTATTACAGAAGACCCCCCCCCCCCGACTGTGATGAAAATGACCAGGATTCCGATAATATCAGGATTGGTGGGAATAATTAATGATGTGTGTGTAGTATGGTGGGAGGAGTAATCTTGGTGAGGGAGGGAGGTAGCATCATCTGCTGACTCTTTCTGGCGTCCTGTTATTGTCTGGACTCACCGTACCAGCTTAGTGGTTCATTATGGTGAACACAAATGTAGATACTTATATATAATGTGTGTATATAGTGTAATAACAGCAAAAGGAGTATGTTGGGAGGAGCCATTTTGGTAAGGGAGGTGGCATTATCTGCTAGCTGGTGTGTGACTAGTCATGCTGTGTAGAGTGGCCACTATGCTGTTTGGACACCACATCAGCCTAGTTGTACAGGTATGGTGAACATAACATGTAGATATTTATATTTAATGTGTGTATATAGTGTAATAACTGCACAAACAGTATGGTGGGAAGAGGAATTTTAGTGAGTCAGGTGTTGAGCGAGTGAGGGAGGTGGCATCAGCTGACTGTGTGTGGCGGCCACTGTTATTGTCTGGACTCGCCATACCAGCTTAGTGGTTCATTATGGTGAACACAAATGTAGATACTTATATATAACATGTGTGTATATAGTGTAATAACAACAACAACAGTATGGTGGGAGGAGGAATGTTGCCGAGTGAGGTGTTGAAGGGAGGGAGGGAGGTGGCCTCTGCTAGCTGGTGTGTGCCGGCCACTTTTGTTGTTTGGACTTGCCCTATCAGCTTAGTGGTTCGTTATGATGAACAAAACGTGCAGATACTCATATAAAACGTGTGTGTGTATAGTGTAATAACAGCAAAAATATTTGTTTATTGTTTTATGAACATAATAATTGAATCACTAATATGGCATCATTCTTTTGAGTATAACAATAGTTCACACATTTTATTAAATAAATATATCACACTACACACTATTGAATAATATTACAGGCATACCTCAGTTTAAGAGTTTAATTGGTTCCTGGAGACGCCTCGTATTCCGAAAACTCGCATTCCGAAGCTAATTTCCCCATAAGAAATAAAGGGAAATGAATTAATCCGTTCCTGACTACTCCAAAAACCCCACATCAAACTTAATTTTTATACCTAATTCATCTAAATAAACCTACAAAACTATGTTCAAGTTATTACTTACCTTGCTGTTGAATGCTGTAGGCGTATGGAAGATGGTGAGGAGGTGGGAGGAAGAGAGGAGTTACTGTTTGGAAGGGGAGTCCCCTTCCATTATCACATCAGGCAGTGAGGACTTCACTGGTGTGCACACTCTGGCACATTTTGCCTGCATACCACTAGGACTTGCTTGTTTTACTAAGAATTTGTCTAATGACACTTGTTTTTCCCTACATTTTAACACTTGTCTGTAGTAAGACATCACATTATCATTTAAATGGTCAATGCAACGGCCTGCTACAGCTTTATCTGGGTGAGTTTTTTCAACAAAACTTTGCAGTTCTTCCCATACTTCACACATTTTCTTAATCAAGAAGGGACATCCTCTACTGCCTCTACTCACAGCTATTTTCTTAGGTTGAACCTTACCAATGGCTTTCTTGAGACCCATGGCAAGATATATAATGACAACTTTTATGCTCAAATGGCCAAAAAAACGATAAAAAACTGTAAATCCTTGTGAAGAATTCAGGTGGGATAGTCACTGGACACGAGACACTGGTAAACTGAGGCGCGATCGCCATGCCACTACGCGCCAGTCGGCCTGTACACGTATCAACAAACTCGCGTCCCGAGGTAACCCTCGCCTTCCGAGACATATTTTTGGAGTAAATCCTGCTCGTCTTCCGAAAAACTCGCATACAGGGACACTCACATTCCGAGGTACCACTGTACTAGAAAAACTGAGGAAAAATTAATCGCATTGAAATAATTAGGTAATATCTTAATGGCAACTCCCGGCTGACAGTGGGTGTGGAGCAGACCACTGTGGGATGCGTACTCTGTCAATGCCTCATTTTGCCAAGCTTCCTTCCCCCATTGCAACCAAAATATGTCGCCTATGATTTTTTTCTGGGGGGAGCCCCGTCGGCTCCCCGGAGCTATCCAGGCTGAATGGATATGTATAACTTTCTGGCATCAGTCAATGCATGGAGTTCTTGCCTACCGGGGACCACAAGCCAGAACCTGGCCCCCTCTAGAGAGGCACGAGGAGCAATGGCCTATAGAGACCCCCTTATGATTGGGAGCATTCTATGTCTGCCATCGACCGGGACAGGCACCCAGAAAAGTAGGCACCCCGAAACAAACCCCTATTCTGGTAAACTATTGCGACCGAAGACCGAACAGGTGGACAGAACTCCTCAAACGAAAATTAGCCCTCATGACGTCATCATGTTGCCGCCCCGCCGTCTGCGCAACCCACCCCCCCCCCCCCTCCCCGGGAGGGGGAAGGGGGGAGCCCCAGATTCCACCGTCGGCGACCCAACCATTAGTTCTCAGGCTGATGGGATCTGGTGCGGTCGTGCCTCTGGCTCCTGTTTGCAGTTGCAGTTCTGTTCCTGGTGGTCTGAGCTGTCCCTTCCGGTAGTGTGTGGGCCAGGAGTATTATTCCACGGTGCTCAGGCTGCATGCGCCTAGGGTTATCTTCCCTAGGTGCCCTGTAAGTACTGCCCTTGGGGCTTAGGGCTACCTTCCCTGGGTTGCCTTGGGGTCTACCTCCGCTGAGCCGTGCACTGCTCGGTACTTGGCCGCCCTTGGGATCAACTGGGGTTTTTTCTTGCCCTTGTTTGTCTCTGAGTAGGGGGTAGTTTTCGTCACTGGCAGGGGCGCGTGGTACTGCACAGCTAGTTTTCACCAATAACAGTGGCCGGCTCTGTTCCGCCTGGGTACGTTGTCCTCTTGCGGGGTTTTTCTTTTGTTTTTGTTTTTGCCTGGTGGGGGGGGTCTGCCTGTTAGCTCCCCCATCGCTGTTCTTGGGGTTTGTCTCCAGATTGTCTACTTGGTGGTCCTCCCCGCTTGGCCCCCGTGAGTGTACACGTCCCGGGGGTTCAGCTATAGCAGTTTGTTGGTAGTTTTGGGTGCCGGTTCGCAGTACCCTGCCTGGGCTTCCCTTAGCGTGTTATCAAGGCTAAGGGCCCTGGAAAACCCCACGGGGGCTACGTGGTCCGATGGATGTGACCCCAGAGTCCCTCCTCGCGTCCTTCGAGTTTGACGGTTGCTCTGTCCCCTTGTCTCAGGGGGACACTCACCGGTTTTGCCTCCGCCATGCTGCCTGTTGGGTCGGTGATTGTTTTGACCCAGAGTCGTGCGACGTGTGTTGTCTGTACGTACTCCAGTTCACCCAGGCTACTGCGCCTGATATGCAGGTGAGGGCAGCTGAGGCGTTGCATGCTCGATTTAGGTTGCTGCAACGCGCTAGGTTGGTCGCTGCCCCGGATGCTCCGAGACTGCCCCGTTTTGGTTATAGGGACCCGGACTTGGGGGTGGGGGTCGCTTCGGCTCTGGTTCCGTCCGCCCTTCCAAGTCCTTCCCCTTCTGTTGCTCGTTTGGTCCCCCCCCCCCCTTCCTTGCTTTCGGCTCCTAAACGTCTGAGGGTTTTGGAGCCGGGGCAGGGTTTAGTCGGTTGTGAGACTCGGGCGGTTTCGGGGGTGTCCCCTTCTGGGGCAGTGGCGAAGGCATTGGAGCCTGGTCCTTCTGCCGAAGCTTCTGGGTCTGGCCAGTGGGCCCCCTTTGTTCCTGCTTTATCGGCTGCTCCCACCTTTTCTTTGGGGGTGGGGGCTCAGGAGGACGGCTCAGCCCCGGGCCCTCTGGGTCGGTCCCGTGCGCTTGAGTGGCGAGAAGTTTCCTTGGCGTTGCAGGTTTTCCTGGGGGGCGCTTTTGAGCATCTGAATGCTTGTTTGTTCGCCCCTGCCCTTCCACGGGATGTTGGTGTCATGCAGCTTCACGTGCAGGTTCCTTCCCTCTCAGCTACCTTGATTGCAGAGGATTTGTGGACTCGTGGCCTGCTTGCTTCGGCTCTGCGTTTCTTTTCCCTCCTGGAGCTATCCTCGGATTGGCTCGAGTTGAATGTGGGAGCACTTGGGGCCGCTGCTGGGTCTGGTGCGCTGCCCTCGGCTGTGCGGGCGTCGTCTGCTTTGTTGAAGCTCTTCGCGCCCATCCTGCGTGATGCGGTTTCGCGGTTCTATGCTTCTCGCCTCGCGTGTCGTCAGGCGGTGCTAGCTTCCTCCTTGGAGTCCGCCTGGGCCCTGGCTCTTCGTTTATCCTCGCCCTTTTGTCCGTTGCTGTTTGCGGAGGCTGCGGTGGGGCAGTATCTGCAGGCAGCCTCGGTTAGTTGTCGGCCTATGTCGGAGTTGTTGTTGCTCCGGGGGGCTCGTGGGGAGCCTTCCCGGAAGGGTCGTGCCAGGGCTCGGAGGTCTTTTCGTCGGGGTAGGCCTTTGGTGCC